CTGAACACCTGAACTGAACACCTGAACTGAACACCTGAACACCTGAACTGAACACCTGAACTGAGCACCTGAACTGAGCACCTGAACACCTGAACTGAGCACCTGGCACTGAGCACACAGCAATGTGACCCATGGGAATTTTGTGCTCTGGACAGAATCAGAGAAAGCTGCCACTTGGCCCCCTATTATTATTATTATTATTATTATTATTATTATTATTGGTTTTAAAATTAAATGTATATATTTTTATTATATAAATAGATTTCATGTTTTTATATCTTTATATTTTATATTTATATTTTATATTTATATTCTAGATTCATATTGTATATTATTATATTTTATATAATGATCTATTATATCATTATATATATTATTATATATTGATTATATATAGAATATGTATATAATATATATATTATATAACATACCATATATAATAATATTTTTATATTATGTAATATATTATACATTGTAATATATTGTACTATATATTATATTATATATAATTATATTACTTCTATTACATTACATTATGTATTATATATATATTATATATTATCATTGTCAATTATACCACTATATATTTGCATTCTAAATTATTATTATTCTCGATTACATTATATTTATATTTCTATTTCTCAGCCTTTTGGGTGTGTTTTGTAACTTCACCACTGGTAAAACCCCCGTGGGTCACTGTGTCCTTCTCCCAGAGAACAATCCAGCAATATCAGCAACATCCCACCCGTGCCTCCTGAAATGTCACCCACCAGACACGGAAAAAAGGGAGGGAAATGAGGGAAAGGAGAAGAGGAGGGAAAGGATAAAGGAATTTTCCCAACTGGAGGGGAGCAGAGAGGCCTGAAAATCCCAACCCTACCCATGGGCAGCACAGCCCTAAATCTCCCTGCAGACTGAGCCTGAAAAAACAAATTCATCATCCTGCAATGTCCCCAGCAAAACGCCCATAAAATTTCATTAATGCTCATGACAGTTCATAAAAATGATCAGTAGGGCTGGCAACTCCAAAATAAGGTGGAAATAAGCAGGAAGATGTTTTTTGCTGTAAGCCTGCTTTGTCATGCAGCTCTCTGCAAGCTCATTAAAAAAAAAGAAAATAAATTAAAAAATGGAATTACAGCACCCTGAGAGATCCCTGAAGTTTGGGATTGTCAGGGACACACAGAGACCTGCAGCTGCTCCCTTTATCCCAAATCCTTTAGGATATCCTACAAAAGCTCCATCACCCCCTCCCGTGAGAGATGCACAGAGCTGACAGCACATGGGGATAAACATTTCCAGAATAAATTAACTTTCCCCCACCCCTTTTCTTGGAGGTGTCTAACAGCTCTTCTCACCTTTATTTGAGACACAATTTTAGCCTTAAATGAAAGTTAAAACTGGTTTAGCAGCTCCCCATAAATTGTCTCCTCCTGTCCCTACCCCATCCCTGCAGCCACATAAATCTTCCTGGCAACGAAAGCAAGAGCAGAAAGTGCTGCTAATGAAACGATGATGGCATAATTAATTCAGATTAAGTCATACTTTTCATCACTCCAAATTTTCTCCTTGTTTGGCCCTTATCCCTGCAGGAAAGGGAAAAGCCACTCGGGCACCTCTGCTGTAAAAAAAAAAAACCTAAAAAATCCAGGATGAGGATGGAAGTCTGAGCAGCCCAAACCAGGAATGATCTGGATGGGCAGAATTCAGTCAGATGTTGAAAAAAATCTCTTTTTCCTGCCCCTGCAAGCCATGGCTGGCACATCTCTGGTGCCTCCCTGGGGATTTTTCCAAAGTCCTTTTCATCTCCCCTTCCCCTCAGCCTGGATTTATTTCCTTTTTTCCCTCCTGCCTTCCCTAATCCATTCCCCTTTACCACCCAAAACTGCACATCCAGCAGTGCAGGGCACTGATAACCAATTAAACTAAACTAAACTAAACTAAATTAAACTAGATTAAACTAAATTAAACTAAATTAAACCCTTCTAGGGTCACTAAACCCTTCTGCCAGCCCATGGTGGAACTGAGCCCAGCTTTACAGAGCTGTGGGGCAATTTCAAATACAGAAAATCTTTTTCTGTCCTGCCATATAAACCCCAAATCCTCCTCCTGCCACACAGCATAACTGTTTTGTTTTGGGTTTTTTTTTTTCTTTCTAAATGGGCTGGATGGACAGCTTGTGACAGCTGGACTCATCAGGAAAAGCAAAACTTCATTTCCCAAGGGGAATTACTGAGGTTTCTTCCAGGACAGAGCTAAACTGAAAGGAGCAGTCAAGTTGAGGAAGACCAGGAAATGTATTTGACATTAAAAAAATCACACCATTATTTTACTCCATGCATTGCAAGCTCAGAATTATCCTTTTTTTTTTTTTTTTTTTTTTTTAAAGACAGGGATTCTAATTTCCAAAGGTGCTGGCACCCTCAGCTGCCATTGTGCAGAATCATTGCTCACAGGGCCATTAATTAAGGCACTGTCAGCACTTCCATCCCAAACCTCTGCCTGTTAGGAGTTTATAACTCAGCCATAAAAACTCTGCTCTGGGCTGAAATTTAGCATGAAAGGCTCTGCCTGGAAGGAATCCATCCTTTTGTGTTTGAGAGTCCCAAAAGCTTGGAGCAGCAAACCAGGGGGTTGTTTTTTTATTCGAAGGGCTGCCTTTCAAAAACCTGTTTTTATGGGTGCTGGCTGAGCTGGGCTCACTCTAGGGGTGAGGTTTGTGCTCTTAACACTGGGAAAAATTTGGAATTTATTGGGGGTTTGTGGTTCAGAGCCACTGCCTGTGCTTGGTTAAACACCAGAGAATTCTCTGCCCTCGCTGTTCCCATTGCAGGGTGAGTCCACAATGGATTTCCCACCTTCATTCCCAGGGCCAAGGTTTAATTCCCTCCCCACTGGTCATTAAAAACATGGATATTGCTCTGCTCCACCACTGCTATTATTTCCCTTTTTTTTTTTTCCATCTCTGACTGAACAGGTTCACACAAAACATCAAAAACTCCTTTTAGCAAAACTCAGATTTGTCACTGGGCTGTTCTTGGCCATGAGACCCCACGGAGCAGATCCTGATTTCCAGCACCAGGGACCCTCACTCTGCCCTGTCCTGCCTCCTCCTGCTCTGTTTTCTCCCCCCTGAAAAGTTCCCCAGCTGCTCAGATTTATTGTTCTCAAAACTAAAAACCCAGCAGTTTTCTACAACTCAAGGGCTGCATCCTGATCTGGAAATCCAGAATAAAAAGAGACCTTTCAAAATCCCAGTTTTCAGTGCAAATTTCTGCAGCTGGATTTTTAAAGGATTAGAAGAGTTCGTGAGTGCTGGCAGCACAAAAGATAATTCACCACACCCAGGTTCTCAGCTGACCCAGGGCTCACAGAGGAATATTCATATTTGCAACTGGAAATCTTCAATTTATGAATTTCCACCTTCTTGGGACCAGAGCAAACACATCAAAACTGAGCTTTCTTTAGAAATCTCATCCATTCTCTCTTCCAATGTAAGAGGGATTGGTTATCCCCCAAAATAAAAACAGAAGAGAGGGTGTGTGGGGAGAGTGAGGAGCAAAGGGAGGAAGGAAAAACCCCCAGAAGTGACAGAAATGTTCATTTACATTACAGTAAGAAATCAGAAGTTCTGAGCCCAGCACACAGAACTGTACCTGCAAGAGGTCTCTCGGAAGGAGATGTTCAAATCCCAGTGGGTGTGAATCCTGCAACAAAAAAAAACAAACCAAAAGCAAGAGGTCAGAGGCACTGAGCTCTCATCTCTTGTCCCCCAAATCCTGCTCCACCCTGGGGACCCCACAGTCCCAAATCTGCCTCGTCCAGCCCCAAATCCTGCCCTGTCCAGCCCCAAATCTGCCTCATCCAGCCCCAAATCCTGCCCTGTCCAACCCCAAATCCTGCCCTGTCCAGCCCCACTCTGTGTCCACAGCAGGACCCAGCAGGAGCTGCTCAGCACTGGGAAATCCTCCCCTGCTCCATCTTCACCCTTCCTGCTCCATCCTCACCCTCCCTGCTCCATCCTGACCTTTTCCTTCTCCATCCTGACCCTCTCTGCTCCATCCTCACCCTCCTCTTCTCCATCCTGACCCTTTCCTTCTCAACCCTCACCCTCTCCTGCTTCACCCAGACCCTCTCCCTGCTCCATCGTGACCCTCCCCTGCTCCATCCTGACCCTCTCCCTGCTCCATCCTGACCCTCCCCTGCTCCATCCTGACCCTCTCCCTGCTCCATCCCTGTCCCTGAGAGCTGCAGGGCTCTGTCTCAGCTCGCAGCCCCTGTTCAGAGGAGGCAGAACGAGCTCGGTGCTGACATTTCAGGCAGAAGCCCCAGACGTGTCTGTGCCGTGTTCCCTCCCAGCTGGAAATGAATTATCAGCAATTTCCCACCTCAGAAATGAACCCAGCACCTTCTGTCACTGTGCCTGTGACAGGCAGGAGCAGCTTGGGCATGAACAACATCCCAAATCACGGCAGAGCAGCCAGGGGGGCTGCGGGTTTTGGTGGGATTTTTTTTTAATTTTTAATGGGATTTTTTTGGTTTTTGATGGGATTTTTTTTGGTTGGATGGACAGAGCTGGATCCTCCCAGCTCGTCCCAGTTATCCCAGTCCCAGTATCCAGGCCAGGCTGTTTCAGGAGGCTGAGCAGGGAGTGCTCAGGGATTCAGGGAATCTCATGCAGGGCTCCTGAAGAACAACCTGACAGTGGCAGCAGGAGGCTGAGCCTTGGGGCATCCGGGCTGCTCTCAGCAGGAATTGCTGCTGCAAAGCTCAGACCCAAGGAGATCAGGAGAGCCTCAGGCACAGGAGATGGGCAGAGCTGCCAAGGGCACTCGAGGGGCAAGATTTCCTTTCCTTTGTCCTTTCCTCTCCCTTTCCTTTTTCCTTTCCTTTCCCCTTCCCTTTTTACTCTTCACTTTTTTGCTGCTCTCATCTCCTCCCTGTGCAAGAAAGGATTTCATGCTGGTTTTGGGGTATTTCACCCTGCAGCATCCCTGGGAAGTCAGTGGCTGATTTTTTTCCCCCCCTCTCTGTCCTTCAAATCCACGTGAGGACAATGAGACCTCCCCAGGACCCTGAGCAGGTGTTTGAGCTTCACCTTCATCCTCATCCTCATCCTCACCACCCCGCTGTGGGGACTCGGCCAAAGCTGTTCCTGACCCACCCTGCTCAATCCCAGATGCTGTCACTGCATTTCTCCCCTTTCCCTCCCCTCCCACACTCTTTAAAACAGGAATTATTCAATGCATCAGCCCACAGGACAATGCTGGGCTGGAATCCAGCAGTGTGAGGATCCTGAGCCTTCCTCCCTGGCTCTCCTCTGCCTGGAGATTCCTGGGATCACACCAGGAGATCCTGGCAGGCAGAGTTTGCACCTCGGGGTGGAAAAGCTCCCAGGCTGAGCTCATGCATTTATCAAGGCTGGCTGGAACCTCCCTGGGAGGGTAAGGAAGTTAAAGCTTCCCAAACTACTGCACAGCCACGGAACCTGTGAGAGTCTAATTAAGAATTGTGGGATCATTAAGGTTGGAAAAGCCCTCTAAGCTCATCCAGCCCCACTTTTAGCCCAGCACTGAACCCAGGTGCCACAGCCACACCTCCCTCGAGGTGATGCCACCACCTAAGACTGACGTGAGGGACCAGCCAGGAAACTTCCAACTGCAATTCCAACCCCCCGAGCCTTTCCTTCACCAGTGCCCAGCCCTCAGAGCAGCAGGAAACCGGGGACAGGAGAAAGAGGAAAAGTGTTGAAAGCAGTGATGCACTAGGATTTTCCTTTATTCCTGCACTCCCAGGAATTCTGCCTGCTCCTCCTGCCCCACGATCTCAGCTTTTCCCTCTACACTGCACCACAGCTCCAGCAAAAGGAAAATTGTAAAAAACCCAGCTGGGAGAAGCCTGCTCTCCTGCAAGGAAATGAAGCTGAACCAAGAGAGCTCCAGACAAAATGCTGGAGATCACTGCCTGAGACCTGCCAAACATTCCTCCTTCATTTCCTAATAAACAAGGCAAAGCAATTACAGTAATTAAAGATTTAAGATAAGAGCACTTTGTATTTGGGGGGGGCCAGCATTATCAATTACAGAGTTATCACGTTGTTCTCTTCCCTCCTAATGAGACAATCTAGCCCTGGTAATTCTGCAGCATTAAAGCACAATTAACAGGGGCAGGAGGAGCAGGGCAGCTCACCAGAACTGACTGGGAGGGTTCCCTGTGCTCCAGCCCAGGTGTATTCCCAAAACACCTTTCCATTTACAGCAGGAAAAGGCTCCTGGACAGCTGCAGTGATAAACCCAGCCTTTAATTACAGCAGGGTTTGATGGCAGGAGCTGGGGGCTCTTTTGTCTCCCTGCTCCGAGCTCTCAGCTGCCGAGGGTGCCAGGAGGGAAGGGAGGAAACAGCTCCACTCCTGCCGGGCAAGGAGCACATAAAACATCACAAAAGCAATTACAGCCCTTCAGCTGCCTCTGCCCTGGTTTTATGGGGCTTGTGTCAGGATCTGAGCCCTGCTGTGCATCACAGCGAGGTGACAAGCCAGAGGAGCTGCAGCGATCGGCACGGGATCCAGCTGCCCGCAGGGGTTTGTCCTCCCGGGCTCACAGCTGTCCTCAAATTCCTGGTGTTTTGTTTTTTTTTTTTTCAGAGGGGTGAGAGGACCTGGGATTTTGCAACTGAATATTGAGGGCACTGAGGCCTCCCAGGTGAGGGTTACCAGGACCTAACTCCAGACACTTCTCCTGCTCCTCTAAGGCTGCACAACTCCAGGATGAATGTGCATGGCACTGAGAAAAGCAGGCTCAAAATCGAGCAGGATCAAAATCAAGCAGGCTCAAAATCGAGCAGGATCAAAAGAAAAACAGGCTCAAAATCGAGCAGGATCAAAATCAAGCAGGATCAAAATCGAGCAGGATCAAAATTAAGCAGCTCCTCCTCCCTGCTGCAACTCCATCCCTTCTCCCTCGCTCCTGGAGGCTCTCAGGATGTTCTGTTTTTATCAAACTTTTATAAAACCCAACCCCTCGCTGCTGCCCCTTCCCAAACTCTGCTCCCCAACAGCGAGCTCCCCAGTTTCGATCGGAATTTGAGCACAACTGAAAGCAAAGGCAGGATTTGGGACCCCCACACCTCTGGATTTCTGACAGCTGGAGCCCCCAGATGATTTCCTTGGCCGTGCAATTCCTTGGCCACAAAACCACAGAGCCCTGGGCAGAGAGTGGAGACCCCAAGTGAAAATCTCCAAATCCAGATTCGCCCACAGCGCCAACTCCAAAAAGGACAAAGTGAAAAAAAAAAAAAAAATAAAAATCCCCAGTGGGAGCTGGAAGGTGACACCTGCAGAGTGCTCTGAGCCCCCGCAGGTGACTCCCCAGGGGCAGGGCTGGCTCTCCAAGGCTCAGCCCAGGCTCCTGTGGCTGTGGCCCAGGCCAGGATTGATGCAGGCACCTTCTTTTCATGATACTGATGTGCAGATCCTCCTCCTGCTTCACTTCGGGCTGCTGCCCATTGCTCTTGTCGCTCTCCTCGCTGTCGTCGCTGTGCGAGAAGATGGAGCTCAGCTCTTTTTTGGGGACCCTGCTGGGGGGCAGGGGGATTGTCCTCTTCTCTGCCAGGCGGCCCCGGTTCTGGGATGGGGAAAGAAAGAGAAGAAAACAAGGATTTGGTGAGGAACCTCGGTATTGCCACGAACACCAACCAAAAACTTCTTTACCTCCCGTGCTCCCAGGGAACGGGAGCAAACTCAGCCAAAAGGGGAGAAGAACCAGAAAAATCCTTGGGAATCCCAGAATTTCTGCCCTAACAAGGCAATTCTCAAAATCCTGTTTGTTTTGTATTTTTGCCCTCATTTATTATAATATTTATATTATATATTATATATATATATATTATATGAATATATGTGTATATATAATATATATGTATCTATATTTATTTATTTACTTCTTTATTTACCATGTCCCTCCATCCCCAGAAAATTAAAATAGACTGAGCCAATCAATTTTTTTGCCTTTTATATTCATCTACAGCCAGTCTGGAATCAATTCCCTAATGTGTTTAGAGGAATCCAGCAGCAGACACACATCCCTCCCAAATCGAGCACAAAACGTGGCCAGGAGCCTGCTCAAAATCCCAGAACCTGCTCCAAAATCAATTGTCTTGCCATTGATTTGGAAGGGCTCTGGTCCATGCTGAAAACACAAAATAAATAAAAAAAAAAACCCTGTCCAGAACAGGGCCAGCACGTCCCCAGGGAGGGTGGGGATGTTCCTGGGGGAGGAACAAAAATTTGGTGCAGAATTCTGGCCCAGGAAGCCTCCAGGAAGGTCAGCAATGGAAACTCAGGGGTGTTTTCTAGCACTGAGGGGAAATTAGAGAAATCACTGAGAAATCACTGAGAAATCACTGAGAAATCACTGCTAGGACATCAGATAAATCACTGATAAATCACTGCTAGGAAATCAGATAAATCACTGATAAATCACTGAGAGGAAATCAGAGATATCATAGATAAATCACTTCTAGTAAATCAGCAATATCACAGATAAATCACTGATCTCACTGATAAATCACTGGTAGGAAATCACTGATAAATCACTGATAAATCACTACTAGGAAATTACTGATATCACAGATAAATCACTGCTAGGAAATCAGATAAATCACTGATAAATGACTGCTAGGAAATCCCAGATATCACTGATAGGAAATCACTGATATAACACAGATAAATCACTGATATCACAGATCAATCAGTGATAGGAAATCACTGATATCACTGATAAATCACAGATAAATCACTGATAGGAAATCATTGATATCACAGATAAATCACTGATATCACAGATATCACAGATCCATCACTGATATATCACAGATCAATCCCTGGTAGGAAATCAGTGATATCACAGATAAATCACAGATATCACAGATCAATCACAGATCAATCAGTGACAGGAAATCAGCTCAGGACCCTCCTGCAGGTTCCTCCTCTCCCAACACGAGGATTCCCCAGCCCTGGCATGGGGAGCCCAACATTTCCTTTTTCCTCTTTAATCAAAATTCCCAAACCTCTGCAAACCCTCCAAAGCCTCTGCTCGGAGTGCTGAGTGCTGCCCTCCCTCCACCCACCCCTAAATATTCATTTTTTGGGGTTCTGCTTGCAGCTGACCAAGCACAGATGGGGTTGGAGTCAATAATTCCCATTCCCATTCCTGCCTCCCCTCCCTGAGTCTTCTCACACCGTTCATTGCTCAATACTCAAAAGGATTCTCAGGGTGGGGAGGTGGCTTTGTTTATAAAAAAAAAAATAAAAAATAAAAAATCACAGCCAGGAATATTGCCTTTCCCTAGGAAAAATCAGGTGAGTACCATCAGCACGTTATTTAAAGTTACCTGAGTCCTGAGATGCAGCTGCAATTAAAAAAAAACCCACAAAAACCAAAAACAAATAAAATAAAATAGAGCAAAATAGAATAAAATAGAATAGAGTAAAATAGAATAAAATAGAATAAAATAAAATAGAATAGAATAAATAAAATAAATAGAGTAAAATAGAATAAAACAAAATAGAATAAAATAAATAAAATAGAGTAAAATAGAATAGAATAAAATAAAATAAAATAAAATAAAATAAAATAAAATAAAATAAAATAAAATAAAATAAAATATGCAGATGAAAGCCAAGTTTTGGCAGCTGATCCCAATGGGAATTGACCCCAGCCAGGAGCAGGTGCAGTCCCTGGGGACACTGGGCAGCCAAACCAAGGCCACAGAAAAGACACACGAACCCAAACACCCCAAGAATTTGCTCCCACGTAAAAACATCCAAGCTGTTTGCAAGATGGTTCACGTGCCTGTGATTCAACCCTCAAAAATAATCACTATTGGATTAAAAAAAAAACCAAAAAAACCCCCAAAAAACCCTGCAGGAAAATCCAGCCCGTGCTTTCCTCCTTCACACACAGAGCTGGGAGGCAGAGGGAGCAGGCAGGGAAGGCTGGGGCAGCTCTGAGCTGGGAGAGGAACAATTCGAAATTTCTTCCAGATGTGGAGGAAATCCTCAAGGCCAGACAGCATTTTCTCTCTCTCTCTTTTTTTTTTTTTTTTTTTTTTTTTGATAATAAAGATAGGGAAAAGGGAAAGGGGGAGGTTTAGAGAGCTTGGGATCTTTTTCTTCTGCTTTTGCAAGTGAGAAACGTGGCGGGGTGGCTTTAATTAGGGACGTGACACAGCGGTGGGGACCACACATCCCCTGGCAGAATAACTGGGCTTGAATTTCCCTTCAGCTCTGATTAGTGTCAACACCTCCAGCAGGGTCAGCCTGCCTTCCACGATAATCCTGCCCTGTCCCCTGGGCCTTCATTAGCCCCTTCCAGCCTCAAATCCAGCCCTGGGCTCTCCACGAGCTGCATCCAGGCAGGAGGAGGTGGCCAGGCTCTGAGCTCGCCTCCTGGCCCAGCGTTTAGAAATGGAAAAAAAAAAAAAAAATTGAGAAAACAGCTCCCAAGGCATCCCCCACCCTCCCCTGTCACCTGCCCACTGAGGTTTGTCCTCCATCCTCTCCTCCCCAGGGACACCAGTGTCACACTGGAACTGCTCCAGCACTGGAGGGATGGCCCAAAGCAAGAGGGAGGCAGAAATTATTAAATAATAAAAGCTACTCTGGAAAAAAAAAAAACACCTGATTTCAACTTCCCAAATAAAGCTGACAAAAGGCAGAAGTGCTGGGAAAGGCAGACAGGATCTGACAGAAGAGCCCAAGGTCAGGCAGAAATCAGAGCAGGAAAACCCTCCCAGGATTTTGGGGACTGTCACAGCCTTCAGCAGTGCCACGGCAGGGACCTCCAGGCTCTGCCAGGGACTCAAGGAAGGAGAAAAGAAAGAAAAGGGGGCACAGGCAGACAGGTGACACAGCTGGAAAAAGGGACAGGAGCCTTGGGGACATCAGCCTTGGGGACAGGAGCACTGGGGACAGGAGCCTTGGGGACAGGAGCCCTGGGGACAGCACAGTTCCAGAGAATTCCAGCACAGAGAGCCCAGCTCATGTTTGGGGTATTTTCATCTTTAACTGCACCACAGGAAAAAAAAAAAAATCTCTCTTGAGCACAACGTCCCTGAGTAATCCCAAGCAATTCCCTCGTGCTCAGGCTCCAAAAGCCATCACCAGTGTCCCCTGCCAGGGACAATCCCTGTCCCTCATCCTGTTTATGGGGATTATCCTGGTGCTGTTGGAAGCTCTTTGGTGCAGGGGGTGACCCGTGCAGGCAGAGAAATCGGGTCCTGCTAGAACTGAAGGAAATGTGGAAGTTTTAACCCAAAAGAAAGTTCCCAGAAGGGAAGCTGCAACTCTTCCCATCAATATGAACACCGTGGTTTTGTGAAGCCCTAAAGGAACTGATGAACAAGATCTGGGAACAGAAGGGAACATTTCCCATTTAGAATCTCTCAGTGACTTCTGAAGCCCAAAGGATAATTTGTTAATAGAGCAAGAGCCACGCTTTTCTGGGAAAAGCCAATTGGAATTTCCAGGCTTTGAAGGGAGGTAGGGCTAAGACAGAAAAATCTATCAGGCCTTTGGAGCTACCTGCTTTCAAAACCTCTTTGGAGGAAGGCAGAGAAGGGTCCTGCTCTTTGTTTTCTGTGCCTGTTTCCACATCAAACGACTTTGTCCCTTGCAGCCCGGGGTGGCAAAGGAGGAGCAGAGATGTGCAGCCGGGTCCTCAGGAACTGCGAGTCACTTCTGATGGAGCAGAAATCAAGAGGCTCCAGCTGAGGGTGGAACGCGGCTGCTGCCTCCTGAACAAAGGCAAATCTCACCCATTTCCCCTTTTTTTTTCCCCTTTCCCCTGCCTGCTCCGCCTCTCTGAGCTGAAGGGACAAGGAGCAAAGGGCGTGGATGCTCTCAGGCATTGCCCCCTCTCTTCCCACACCTCGCTGCTGCACCTCTGCAGTGGCAGAAAAACGGGACAGAGCTCTCAGGGCTGTCCCTGTCCCTCTGTCCCTGTCCTTGTGTCCCTGTGTCCCTCTGTCCCAGCTCTCAGGGCTGTCCCTGTCCCTCTGTCCCT